CATTAGAAACTAAATTTGCACAGCAGACCAGCACTGCAGTATTAAGGGTTTATTGCTCAAAACGGCTTCCCTCTCCCTTAACTTACTTTGCCATGTGGATGGGAGGGAATGTGTGAGTAAGGTGTGTTAGAATATCCACAAGGGGATTGGCTAGTCTTACTTATCCACAAGGGGATTGGCTAGTCTCACCATTAAACAAGGCAGATCAAGCAGCAGCAAAGGGGAAACACCACCAGCAGCAAAAGAAGCAAGAGAATATGATGCATCCTTCTTGCACCAGCCAGACTAGACCAGAGAGAACTACAGGAGCAATAGCTAGAGCAGACACAGCAGAGAACCAGAGGCCTAACATGAGACAGAGTGAACCTTGGGACTGCTACTCCACGGAACCAGAGCTAAGGGCCTTTTACTCAGGTTTGCTGGAAGACTGGAGGGGTGTTAGTGGAGGGTAGAGCCAGTATCAGAAGGACTGAGAACTTTGTAACCCTGGCTTAAAGCCATGAGGCTCAAGGCTGAGACTCCTGCAGGCACATTTCAGAAGCTGTCCTGACTGCATTCTGCTACTAACCTGATATGGTTCTGTGTGTGAGCTTTTGCATCCGATGTTGGACCCAGTAAAATATTAATATTGGTGCTGGAATGAGGAGAAAGAGGTGTGGGAGTGTGGGGTACATGTCTGACCTCATAGGATTGGTTTTGTGTTGATGATATTGTTGACAGGGGCAGTTCCCCTTTGAGAGAAAGATCAGATGTGGCTGTCCCCACATGGCCCTTGCTCTTTTTATAAGCACTAAAAATCAGTCAAACTATCCAGGTACCAGCCTGTAAACTACTTTTTCTAAGGCTGTGAATACTACGATGCATTTCCTTGAAGATGAAACAAAACAAAAACTCCATGAAGAGTTAAAAGCAAAAGATATTGTTCATTCATGTTAACATTTATGAATATTGGTCACCAATTACCTGTTTTAGAATCTCATCCAACAAGCCCATGTTAGCCTCTTGTGCTTTTATTGTGTGGGAGAAGAAGGCATAGGTCTTCTTGGGCATTAATTTGTCCTCTGGGGGTCTCTTAACTCCCAAAATTAGACAAGCTTCAGAAATATCCTCCTGAAGAATACCACCAGCTTTGACATATTCCTGGGGATATAATTGTGATGAAAGGTCATTCCTCTCCCTTTCTGGATTTATATTTTTGCTAATAAATAGGACTGTCAAATAAAGCTAGAACTCTTTGAAAGAATACAAATTCTGTATAGAGCACATGAATAACACAACTAATACTTAAAGTTCTGATTGCTGGGTAAAGGAGGTCTAACAACTTGAATTTTGTAGAAAAAGAAAATTTAGCACATACTCTCATTTAATAACTATTTTACCTTGATGAGAGCCACTATTGTAAAAATTGAAGGGCATACACTTGTGAAATGCTGTATATTTGTACCAGTAATACACTAGAAATAGCAAATGTTAGTGATTCACTACCCAGTTAATGTTTTTAAATGAAAGACATTTATCTACAATGTCTACTTGCCATTTATTTTGGTTCCGTTCATTTTACATTGACCAGGGATTTCTAGGAATTATTTCTGTCCTATTTTTAATAGTAAGAAGCCCTGGTGGATAGTGGGCTCATCATTGAGCTGCTAACTAAAAGGTCAGTGGTTCAAGCCCATCAGGAGAAGATGAGGTAACTGGCTTCAGTCAAGATTTAGAACCTCAGAAACTCTATGGTGAGACTCTCCTCTGTCCTATGGGATTGCTGTCAGCAGAAATGAACCTGATGACACTGAATTCGGTTTTTGTTTGTTCACTTGGTTATAATATTGTGAACCACTTTCAAGGTGAGATGATAAAGACACAACAAGTCAGAATCACATTAAAACAAGGCAAAAGTGCAAAGAATCTTAAGATCCCTAGATTATAACACTGTGTGAAAACGGTAATAAATATCACAAGACAAAAAACAAAAAAAACCTATATGTGCATATATTTATATGTAGGCATATACATACACACACTTACATAGGAGAAAACTCAGTGAGGTTATCAAGGAAATGTGGAAATTTCATTAAGTGGGTAGGATTTGGGGTAAGGGAGGTAGGAAATACAAAGTGATACAGTCAGTGATAGACACTGAAACACACACAGATATAGAGAAAGGAAGGGAAGGAAAGATTTATGGCATAATGAGTAAATTAATTTGGAAAAGTAGACTGAATATCATGCTGGTCTTTAACAGTAATATGAGCTGTAGTATACAACATATAACAGTAATAGTAATAATAATATTCATTGCTAAATTATTTAGTAACAATCACTGGCATTTCTATCACACTCTGTTAAGGTCTTTGCAGGAGTTACCTCATTTAGTTCTCCTAAAACTCTAAAGAAGTAAATAATTACTCTGGTTTACTAACTGGGCAACTGAGGTTTATATATTTGTCCAAGATCACACAGAAAGCACAAGGAGACAACAGTCACTTCAGATTTTTCAATAAAAGGGCATTATGAACAGGACAGAATTAGCAGAGCATTAATGTGGCAGCTGTATAAAATGAAGACAAATCTAGTCACCTTCTTTAAAGCAAAGTAAAGCTGGATACGAGAGGCATAAACTTGTAGTTTCTGCCTGGCTTCTCTGAAAACATGCTTGTTCATTTTGGAAAAACCTGGCTAATGCCCCCCAGTCCATTCATACAATGGAGTTACTACAGTCATTAGAATAAAACAGGACAAAGTGAGACTTCAGAGTGCTGTACACAGTGGCTGGCAAGGTGAACTATCATGAATAAATTGTACCGAGGAAGCATTCTATTTACTTTGGTCTTTCCAATGCCAAGTGGTAATAAAGTGACCCTTGAAAGCATTTTATATTCATTTTTTGGGAGGTGGAGAGGGAACATTCCACTGCCATCAAGTCAACTCTTATTTATAGTCAACCTGTAGAACGGAAAACTGCTCACAGGGTTTCCAAAGTCACATATTGTTATGAGTTAATTACCTCACCTTTCTCTCCTGGATCAACTGATGGGTTCCAACTGCTGACCTCTTCTGTGATCAAATGTCTTAAACACTGTGCCACTCTTAAATTCATTAAAATGTTCCTTATTTTTCACAAACAGGTTCATTTTATTCCCACGTAACTCTAAACATTATTTTATTATGTTTTAGGTGAAAGTTTAGAGAGAAAATGAGGCTCCCACTTGATGATTTTGACATAAATTGTCCCATGACATTTGTTAGCATTTTCACAAGGTGTCCGTATTCTCAGCACTTCCTTTCTGTTTGTTTCTTTTCCACTGACCTCACTTCCCTTCCTTCCTTCTCATGTTTAATTTTGGGTAAATGTTAGCCAGTTGATAGCTTAAGGGAGTACATTAATCATGAGTCGGTGACACTGTTTCTTTCATAAGCCAAAAGTGACCTTCAGGTCAGGCTTCAGTTCACAGGGTATCTCAGGGCAACAGTGTCCAGAGTTCTTCTCGTTCCCATTGGCTCAGCAGCTCTGGTCTTCCTTAGAAAGTTGAATTTTGTTCTATATTCTCTCACACACTATTTGGGACTTTCTGCTTTGTCCTCGGCCAGTGTGGTCAGTAGTGGTGGCTTGGCACCATCTAGTTCTGGTCTCAGGTGAGATGAATTAGTGTGAGCTATTCATTAGTCTACGTGTGTTCTGTTGTAGAAACTGAGGAAGACCTCATGCACTTGCTGCGGAGGGTCAAGGACTGCAGCCTTCAGTATGGATTGAGGCTCAATGTCAAGAAGACAAAGATTCTCACCACTGGACCAATTGGTAGCATCAGGACGGATGGCGAAGAGACTGAGATTGTTCACAGCTTCAGTTTGCTCGGCTCCACAGTCAACACTCTTGGCACCAGCAGCCAGGAAATCAAAAAAAAGTATTGCCATGGGAAAGTCTGCTGTTAGGGATATCTCTAAAGTACTCAAGAGCAACGGTGTCTCTCTGGAGACTAAGGTGTGGCTGATACAGACCATAGTCTTTGCAATCACTTGTTATGCATCAGAGAGTTGGACAATGACTAGGGAGGATAGAAGGAGAAATGATGCCTTTGAGCTATGGTGCTGGAGAAGAGTATTGAATGTACCATGGACTGCGAAGAAAACAAACAGACTCATCCTGGAGAGGGTTAAACCAGGCTACTCCTTGGAGGCAAGGATTCTGGGGCTTCGTCTGACATACTCTGGACATGTTGTAAGGAGAAACAGGTCCTTGGAGAGGGACATCATGCTTGGGAGGGTGGACAGACAGCGCAGGAGGGGAAGACCCTCTATGAGGTGGATTGATTCAGTGACTGCGGTAATCGGGATGGGTGTGTCAGAGGCAGTGTGATTGGCACAGGATAGAGCAGGGTTTAAGGCTGTTGTACATAGGGTTGCTATGAGTCACAAACGACTCGACTGCACATAACAGCAACAGCAACATTCATTAGTCTTGTGAACTAGAATCTTCTTTGAGGATTGGTTTCTTACTCTCTTTTGCTTCAGATGAAAGATACCAATCATTGTTTTTTGTTGGCCTCATAAACTTTCAAGGCCCTAGACACTCAAATGAAGACATAGTCAGTTCTCCTTATGCCAAGTGACAAAATAGTCATCTGAGACTACAGTCTTTTACCATTTGACCCCATAAGCAAACCCTCAAGGTGCTGAGCTATGTCTGGGAAATCTCCAAAATTGTGCCCTCTGGGAGATTTCTTAGGGAGCTCTAGTAGCCTTGTGGTAAGGAACTGCTCTGACAATCCAAAGGTACATGGTTTGAATCCGCAAGAGAAAGATGGGGAATCTCCTCTTGTACAATGCACTGTGTCTCAAAACCTGCTGGAGGGTCATTTATAAGTTGGTTCTATCTCAATGGTACCAAACAATAACACACACTGTGGTTAGTTATATATGCAGTACACGTAAGTATGCAAATACATTTCTCCACAGGTATGCATTCACATGCATTTCTTTGCATATAGCTGCATATATATATGTAAAATTGAAGATGGGCTTCAGGCCTTTTGTTCGGGTCGCTATGAGTCATGCTCAATTAGAAGGCAATCAACAAAAAACAAGATCTATCTAAGTAATGACACACATAATGTTTTATGTTGCTATTGCTCTTGCAAAATTGGCTATGTTCTACCAATTTACTCAAATGATTCCTTTTCCTGGTGTATGGTCTTCCTATACTTTGGTCTATTCCCACGTATTTTGAAAATCAGAAATATTTACCTTGTCGTGAATGGCCCGTCGATTTGAAGGCTGTATCAGGACCTTGTAGCCCAGATTGGTGATGCCTTTGATGTGTTTGGGGGCTAGCGGTGCTCGTCTCTCCCAGGCATTCACGTCCTCACGTCGGAGGGCCACCACGGCTTTGTGGTGGAGGCCCCGGAAGGGGCTGAGCCCCAGCCTGCCTAGTGTGCTCTGGTGGGCTCGCAGCATCTCGAAGCGTGGAAGCTGTGCAGACAGCATCAGCAAGCTAGATGGCAAAAAGCAGGGAGGGCTACTGGTCAGTCCTGGTCTCCACAGGAGTCAGCTGTAAAATAGTCAACAAACTCATGCGAGCAGATGAAAGAGAAGAGAAGGAACACCTGGGAAAGTGGTAAGCTGCTTAAATAAGCCCAGGCTTCTGAAACAGGGTGCACTGTTCCAAAATAAAGTGCAGAGTAATTTATGCAACATGAACCACTAATTGCCAAGCTGATAGTTTTAAGTATGTTTTTATTACACATTTAATCAATATAAGGAAGCTCTGGTGGCCTACTGGTAAGAATTTGCAATGCCATCTCAAAAGCAAGTGGTTCGAATCCACCAGCTAACTCATGGAAGAAAAGTTGGGTAACTTACAGCTTCTATGTTGCCTGGAAGGGTGGAGGGACAGTGCAGGAGAGGAAGACCCCAGATGAGATGGATTAAGACAGTCACTGGGCTAATGGGGGTAGGTGTGGCAGAGTCAGTAGTCTGGTTCAGGATAGAGAAGGGTTCCAAGTGTCGCTATGAACTGCAGGTAACTTGATGACACATAATCACAACAACAACATGTGGTTGTTATGAAGTGTTGTGGAATATGACTCACAGTGATCCTATGAACAACTGATCTGAACCCTGTCCTATCCTGTGCCATCTTCACAATCTCCAACACCCTCCAGCACATTGCTGCAGTCACTGTGTTCATTCACCCGGTTGACAGTCTTCCTCTCCTTCACCATCCCCCCACCCTTCCAAGTATGTGTCCCTCTCGAAGGAAAAACCTCTCCTAGCTACACACCCAAAGTCCATAAGACTTCATCTTTGCCTCCAACAAGCCCTCTGCACCTTCTGTAAAATATATCTGTTGTTCCTTTGGCCGTCCAGGGGGGATTCAGTCTCTATGAGTGGGTCTCAAACTCCAAGGCAATCACTTTTGAGTTCTAGAAAAATTAATCTCCAAAGCAAACCCAGGAGGATAACCAAAAGCAGCCCATTCAGATTGGTCCCTATCCTGATGACATAAGTCCTTAGAGTACAGAATAAAACTCTTCAGTTTAGCTCTCGCCTCTGTCCTGCTTCCCCTTTGTTCATGACTGACAACCCAGGATCAGCACGCGAAATGTTTTCTATTGGCCAATGATAAGAGATATATACACATAAAGGGCACATATTTAGAACCTTTAAGGCACCTGGACATTCCCCAGTGATTCAGTTACTGAATTTTACAAAAGCATCAGGATTGCACACATCAGAAATGTAATAAACTAAGAAAGCAACCAAACCTGGTCTCCCACCACAGCTGTTAGAAATCTGAGCCACACCCTCCCCACCTGAGAGGTCTCAGCCCACCCTCTCTGCTCAGCCTCACCTGCACTCTGTTCTCTGTTCCCAGTCCCCTCTCCCTACTACATCATAGTGGTGTACAGGTGGCCCAATGGGTAAGGAGTTGTGCTGCCAACCCAAAAGCAGGCGGTTCAAAACCCTCTAGGTGCTCAGAAGGAGAAAAGTGAGCAAGCCTCACCTGCGCCATTTACAGTCTCTGAAAACCCACTGGAGGGTCAACTATGAGTCGGTTCCAGTCAGATGGTAATGAACAACAACAATATATCAAACCACATTATATTAAATCACCAACTGCTCTAACCAGCTAATTACTATTCCAGATTATTCTACTCATTCAATCAAAAAAGATTTCTAAGACACTTAATGATGTGTCCAAAATAGAATAGATATACACATTTTAAAAGCATTAGTATCTCTCCCTTTCATGATTCCCCAACATTCTCAGGCCCTCAGGTCTCCTGAGAAGTTGCTGCCCCAGTTGCAGTATGTGCTATGTTCTGGTGGGAAAACTGTTTAAATTGTGTAAATCTGAAGAAATGGCCAGTCCTTATCTCGCCAATCTTACTGCCAGTGTCCACCTGGGACAATGGTGTCCCATATTGCATCAAAATTCCCATCACCTCAATTTTCCCCTTGGTTTCAGCAAGACTTCCACTGTCAAAGACACATAACATCCACAAAATTTCAAAGCAGGAACTAATGCTGTCATTAAAAAGTTAAATTCACATCCTGTCCGTTTTCAAATGACTATGTGCATTTTGAAGCCAAATGTCATTTCAGATGATATGCAAAAAAAAAGGAAAAAATATATGTGTCAATAACTAAACTCAACGGAGGAAATAAAAGATTTCTACCAACTTTTATAGTGTGAAATTAACCAAACATGCAATTAAGATTCATTAATTATAACTGACAACTAGTGACTAGAATACAGAAGTTGGAAACAAAGTAGGGCAAGTCAGAAATTATGGACTTGATGACAGAAATGAGACTGGAGGTCAAATGACTGGATTTTGTACAATCAATGACTTCTCTATAGCAAATATCATCTATTAAAAAATACAAACACAGGGAACTCTGGTGGCCTAGTGGCAAGAAACTGCACTACAATCCAGAGGTGTGCAGTTTGAATCCACCAGATACTCTGCTGGAGAAGGAGGGACAATCTCCTCCTGTCCAGTCAAATCCAATTTGACGTTATTCACACACACACACACACACACACACACACACACACACACACACACACACTGCAAACAGTGACTATATGCATGGATCTCACCGAATAAGACTACACAGGAATCAGACTGACTACATTTATGGAAAGAATCACTGGAAAAGCTCAGTAGCAGCAGTCAACACTGGGCCAGTGCTGATTATGGAACAGACCTTCAATTACTCATGCACAAGTTCAAATAAAGCTGAAGAAAATTAAAACAAGCCTACAAGAACCTAAGTATGACCTTGACTGTATCCAAGTTGGAAGACGAGGTTACCAAAAAAACTCATCCTAAAAAAAAAAAAAAACCCAAATCATGTACATGAAGGAAAAACAGTTAAAAAAGAGATGAGTTGAAATTTTAAAATTTTTTAAAAACCCAAAACTCGGCCTGTCCACTTTCTTAGGGCCACCTGGCAAAAAACTGAATGCCGTGTATCTATGATCGATCACATAATCCCATTGATGTGATATGGGCCTATCTAACCCCAGTTGCTTCAGAAGAATGATCTGTCACCTACTCCAAAAATCAGCCATCAGAAACCAGAGGGATTTCCTGCTTCAATGTATCCAACAATTAACTCTCCTAATGCTCTTTCAGCCAATTACGAATCTTGTAACTTTTAGCTCCTGATCCAATTACATAAGAATGCATCCTGTTTGGTAGTCGGACAGAGTGGCCATTTTCACGCTGAGATAAATGATGTTTCTCCAGTTTGTACCATCTCTATGCATCAATATAAATTTCATTTGCCTGCTATTAAAATGACCCATCATGTTATTCTTGGATAAAACCAATTCCAAAGTGAGTGATTCCTTCGAGCACACACATATGTCCAGGAACGGTCTCACCCCACCCGACCCCAGCAGAAACAATAGTGCATTTATGTACCCACAGATGACCACATGGCCTCTATCTTCTATCCTGAATCACAATCCTTAGACCAAGCCCACGCAAATGTGTTCAAATCATCTCCTCTCAGCACAATATTGATTTATAACCTTAGCTTCCCCCAGTCAGGGACACTCATCCACCTGTCCTCCACCACCTCTCTAGCCCGGGCTTGGGGTCCAGCAGTGGCACGAGAGGCTTATAAAACATGCACATGTATTTGCAAAGTCAGACTTTCTATAAGAAATAAGAAATAAAAGGGAAGAGTTACAGGAAAGGAATTCATAGTTCCACTTGGGAATTTACTTTTGCTATCACCAGTAGCCAGGAAATCAAAAAACATATTGCGATGGGAAAGTCTGCGGTTAGGGACCTCTCTAAAGTACTCAAGAGCAACGGTGTCTCTCTGGAGACTAAGGTGCACCTTATACAGGCCATGGTTTTTGCAATCACTTGTTATGCATCAGAGAGTTGGACAATGACTAGGGAGGATAGAAGGAGAATTGACGCCTTTGAGCTGTGGTGCTGGAGAAGAGTATTGAATGTACCATGGATTGCCAAGAAAACAAACTGATTCATCCTAGAGAGGGTTAAACCAGGCTGCTCCTTGGAGGCAAGGATTCTGGGGCTTCGCCTGACATACTTTGGACATGTTGAAAGGAGGGACAGGTCTTTGGAGAGGGACATCATGCTGGGCAGAGTGGAGGGACGGCGCAGGAGGGGAAGACCCTCTATGAGGTGGATTGATTCAGTGACTGGGGTAATCGGGATGGGTGTGTCAGAGGCAATGAGATTGGCACAGGATAGAGCAGGGTTTAGGGCTGTTGTACATAGGGTCGCTATGAGTCACAAGCGACTCGACGGCACATAACAACAACAACATCATCTTTTAAGGGAACTCTTAAATGATAATTGCTGTAACTGTCTTTTGTACACAACATAAGTTATCACCAATTAGATATTAACATGCCAAGCACTAAAGTAAGTATTGTATAGACTTAGTTTTATTTCCTAGGAATTATCGAATAAGCAGGTACATTTGAAATATGGAGAACTGAACTATTCTGCTGGAACTGCTATTTTTAAGCAGCAGTAGCATTCCTCAGTTACTGTTTAACATTTAAGATTTTCTTTTTTACCAAAGTGTGCAGACATACCCTTTGTAGACCTGTCACATGCTACTGTAAACTCCTGCCAGCTCCTGCTTCTGAAAGAAATCAGATCCACATGGATTGACTTTAAATACAGTCATTGATCATGTCTCCACCCAGATAGCTCTCAGACCCATTCTTGTATTCTGTTCTTTTTTTGTGTCCCTGCCAAGGTAGATGCTACCTCAAGTTTAAGTATCTTTTAGAAAAAAACATTTATTATAGCAGGTATTCATTTTTCTAACCACTAAGATCTTGGAAACTTCCATCTTGGACTTTTCTGGACCCACTATTTATTTGATTACAAAGTCATCAAGAAATATTCAATGGCTAAGAATTCCAAATTGTTCCTAGATAGGGTATTATA